GTATGGGAACGGTCCACGATTTAACCCTAAGGGTCCATGTACCCAATAATTAGGTACTTGGCATTTGGGTAATAGTAATTGTAGTACAGGTTTTGGGTAAGTATATGATTCTTAGTTACTTGGACCCTTATAAGGCTTAGGGTTTACGATCTTCAGTGTGGTCTGGTTTGGGGCAGGGCCTCCAAGTTCACAATTGAAGGGAAAACTTACTCTGCATCTACTTCCCAAGACACTCCAGATACCCTCTATAAATCCTAAATGCCCACAATTGCGGGCTCTAGAGCCCCTTCGTAAGGATACATGGAGGGTCCAGGGGGAGATGGGCCCTCCGCTTATCGTCGCAAGCTCGACACGCACGATATAAGGTTGTATAGGGCCCTCCCAGCGTTCTGCGATGGCTTGTCCAATACAAGAAAAACCACCTGAGCAGTCTTTATTTGCAGGTTGAACCATGTAAGATTTTGTACATGAAATACATAACCCTACAGGTCCAAGTACCTAATAATGATATACTTACCCAAAACCTGTACTACAATTACTATTACCCAAATGCCAAGTACCTATTTATTGGGCACATGGACCCTTTAGGGTTACTCAATACTGGGGACTATACCATCCAACACCCTAAACCCTAAAGAACAAACTACCCAGCTGTTGGTCAAACATCCAGCATCCGAATGATCATGCCCCTCCCTGCAGCAATCAGGTGTCTGAATTTCTATAAGTATTCTTATCACGAAGCACCACCGTTGTATATACCAGTCATTATAAGGTACCATAGGGATGTATCTGCGTATATCGACATATTACCTGGTAATAACTCCGGATTTTCCCTGCCTGGAAAGCTGAATCGTAATCGTGGAAAAGTTGACCAGCAAGGCTTCCTTTCAGGAGATACTAACCTGCAGTACCCCCAAAACACTGCAGAGAACGCCGCTGACATCAAGCTACAAATTAGTCGAGGAGGGTTCATATGTCAGCATGAGCAGTAATCCTGCAGCATCATGGTGTTTTGATTCCCAGCATGGGATACGGCAATCTCCCCAGATGAGATTCAGGATTCGCGGCTTCTTTATTTCAATGCTGTACAGGGTCAGCGCGAAACTGCCTTAGCACATGCAGCAAGCTCTAAGGGTCCAAGGACCGGTCCTTGGACCCTTAGGGTTTTGTTGTCACGCATATCTGAAAGGTGCAAAGTGGACATTCCATACTACTTGTGTCCACAGGTTTTTGAGCCAAAGACCGACATGCCGGGGTCCTTAAATTAGAGTTGCTGCAGGCTCACGGCCACACTCGTTAGTTCTGTTGAAAAACGTCAAACATCAGCTGACCAGCAGAAATTAACCTCCTGCATAAGCCTGATGTAGGGAGCTTCCCTCGCCTGAACCCTACGCCTTATAAGCCATGAAATGTAAATCTAGCCCCGAACCCCCTGCCCTAAGCCCTAAGCCTTAACGGCCAAAATATCTAAAATNNCCCCCCCCCCCCCCCCCAACACTAATATACCACAATATACCATAAGATACTAAAATGTATTAGTATACTATAAAACACTATGATATACCATCAGCCATGGCACTGACCAATCACACTTGCGGCCATTGTGGTGGAAGAGGCGGTCGCAGGGGAAAAGATATGTGAGCTGCGCAGTACTGCGTGAGTCGTTGCTTTGAGAGGTCACGCGACGGAGAGGTTTACACTCAGTCATACAGGTCTAGACATATATGAGCGGTTGTCAAACGTATGGTCCCTTTC